AGCACGTTTACATGCACACCAGTAAGCTGATAACTCACAAATATCAGCTTATTAAAACAACCAGTTTTCCCAGTTTACATGCACATCAGTAACCTGACAACGCAAGTAAGCTGCGTTTACATGACTTCATTAATAAATCAGGTTATTTCCCTGTAATCAAAATATAATCATTTGCGTATCTGCCTCAGAGTATTCCATACATTTGTCAGTTGTGATGTTAAGTTAAGCTTGCAACATGTCAACTTGCAACATGTCGGGAAACGTACAGCTCATATATTATCCTCTCATGCATTAGCCTATTGCGGTTACATGCCGTACGAAATCGGAGTAAGAGGCAAAAAACTACCTGTTGCGACCGGTTTATGCTTACGCCGTTTATGACCTTACTCCGATAAAAGAAAACGGGTTACCGCGTTTACATGACCAGGTGCGTTTTCGGCTTATTAAGCATAATCGGCTTGAGAACATGCATGTAAACGCGCTCATTGCTGTTCTGAAATGAGGAGACAAATTCTTCACTAAATTCGTGTTCCAGTTACACTTAATGTTGAGACACTTTCCAGGTCAAATAAACATTGCTTACACTCTATTTTGTATTTTTACATTAACAATGTAATTAAAGGGGACATCGGATGAAATGTTCACTTTTTTAGCTTTTTTGCATTTAGTTAGGTTTCTGGCGTCTGTCTGTCAGCTCAGAAAAGCTAAGAAGAAAACACACAGCCAGTTCGTTATGGGCTGTCTGAGTCTGAAACTGTCATCCAGCGAGCTGTTTCAGTTTGCAGCCGGTTTCTACGTAGATATCTAGCTATTTGAATAAGACCACCTCCAAGCCATATATAGAGTCCACGGCAGCAGTTCTATTACATTATGTATTCAACAATGTTGTTCAATAAAACCATGTACTTGGTTTTGATACTTTATTTGAGGCCAATTATTATTGCCTCATCGTTACTTTATATATAAATATAGTCATATTAATACCTGTTTTTCCACTTTCTATTTGTATTACTAAAAAATATCAGATTATTCACTGGTCAAAATAATCAGTAGATTACTTGATTAGCAAAATAATCATTAGTTAAGCACTAGATTAGTTAAAACATTTCAAAATACTTACTTAAATACATAATTTTCCAAGTGTATGATATAGCTTTCATTCTTCAGGTCAATCTTATATTCATGAAAAAAATCAGTTTGAATAAGGAAAGCGATAACTTTGCCATAGTATCCTTTCAAATGTTACATTTGCCACAGTCATTGCATTCTTTGCATGTGCTGCACTTTATTTGTACCATTTTGTTTTATTAGTTTATTTATTAGAATTTGAATGATAATAACATCATTTATTGATTAGTGAGATCTGATTTTAGTCCTTGAAAACCAAAAAAGTGGTGCAAGTCCTTGAACCCTGTTTAAGTTACCAGTTCTTGGACCATTTTAATGTTTTGTTGTTAATTGAACTGGTAATGCCAAATAACCCTGTGTATGTATCTGCCCCCGCAACCCCCAGAAAAAGTTCAGGCTCAGGATTTTTTTTGCTTTAACCCCTGCAAAGCCTGTTACAGACATTTCCTGAAGACCCTAAAGAATCATACTTGTGGAAAATGGGCATCCGAAGCCAGTTTTCCTCTCGTTTGGCGCTTGACGAGGAACCTGCTTGTTAAATCTAAGTCTGCTTGTTGTGTTAGTCTAGCATTGTGCCATATGTTGGTTCTCTGTTTGAATCTCCACTTGATCCATGTGTTCAGTCCTTTAGCTGACATTCGCTGACATGGGTTTCTTTCTTTTTAACTCCATAAATGATGGGAAGAAAGCCAACGACTAAGATGGCAAAACAAGCCTAAGAGAGCAAACGCTGGCTGGGATTTGTTTCAAGTTCTATAAATATTTATCCTCTGCTGTGGTCGTCTCTGGCCTCAGCCAGGAGAGATGGGGCGCGCGCCGGGCACTGCCCACGTGGCACAGAAGAGCTTCACAAACAGCCAAAATATGACCCTACGTCCACTTATGTAATGTCTGTCATATACATATCTGACTGTGAGAAGCAGAAACTCCTATTTTAGCCGTGACTTCTTTCAGTGGGAGTGAAAGTGATCTTTGGAGGTTTTTCGGGTGGAGCTGTGTCTCCATCTACGGGTGTGAATGAAGTACTGCACTCTGATGATCTTTTACAATGAACCTATCATGATTATATGCATGGCAGTGAATGATAAATGAGGAATTTGGTAGAAATGAGTTGGTAAACGTTTGTACATTTTCAACAGTAGTTCATGAATGTGTACAGTAAGCATCAAAGTAAAAACATAGCTTCCTAACACTTTGGATGCATGTGTACACATCAAACATAAGTTTAAGCATATCCAAAACCAGCATATCCAAGTCTCAACTGTATTTGCCATGTCATAAAAATACACTTAACATTTTAGTGATTTATTTTTATTTTAAATTTATTTTATTTTATTTTGTATTTTTATTTTTTAAATATCTGATATTTAAAAGAGACTTGCTAACCTTCACACATAGTCATGATGGTCTGTAATGAGATTTTGGTATGTATTATGGATTTCTTGTCATATAACAATAATTCAGTTTATCTTTATTTTAATTTTTATTTCAGTTTTAGTTATTTTATTACTTCAACTTAAATTTATTTCAGTTATTTGTCAGTTATTTTGACAACAACTCTTATTTTTAAGTGGTTTTTCATGTAATATTCATATTTTCAAATTCAGCTTTATTTCAATTAACAAAAATTTTAACTGAAAATTTTTATTTCTGTGTCCCAAATGTGGTCAAGTATTATGCAAATTATCATTTTTCTAGTATTACGTGATAGTATGTACTATATTAATGACACTTTTCACCTAGTTTATCTAGTTTATAAAACTGGTGTTACTTTAAATCAGATACCTGCTTACCTAAGTCAGTTGATGAAAAAGTGAAATCATAATTTTACAGCATGACTGTACTGGTTTGGCACGGAATTCATTCTTAGTTACTACAGTGGCTGTTTCATTTTTATAAGGGTTATACATTTTAATGATCTAAAGTATGATCTGATGAATCTCTTCTGGGTAATGTAGTTTGACCTGTTTTCTAGGCTCTTTGTGCTGAGATGGAGCAGGAGGCGTCGGAGGCAGCAGAGCAGCAGGGCTGGACTGAGCTCTCCACAGCCGCCCAGGATCAGCTCAGCATGCTGCAGTGCGTTCTGGGTAGCATGAAGGACACAAAGGTGAGAGCTGTGCCATCAGACTGATTCAGAGGAATTTCTTTGCATGTATGTGGTGTGTTTTGACGGTGCTGTTGATGTGGATCAGGTGAAGAGTGAGGAGGTGGAGCGCTGGCTGGATGCTGCTGACGAGCTGCTGTCTCGAGACGCCAGCGGCTTCAGCCACGCTGACAAACTACAGGAAGAAGTCAACCAGTGCAAGGTCAGAGGTCAACACATTCAATAAGTCATTAATGTGGAAGGGTACTGTTGAATAATCCAGCTAGCTGAATAAAGGTTCAATATACTTCTTTTTCGTTCTTTGTTTAGGGGTAACTAGAAGTTTGACATACCTTTGCAGTGGTTTACTGTTAGCGAACATCCTTATGAATATTTAAACGTATGCTGCACGCTTTCCTCTCAATAACAATATAAACGTGCAACAAGCATGACAGCGGTGAGAAAACAGCAGTTAAAGGGGTAGTTCACCCAGAGATCAAAATTTGCTGTTAGTTATTTACTCCCCTTCAGACCGTCCAATATGTAGGTGACTTTTTCCTTCAGTAGAACAGAAAAGAAGATTTTTAGCTGAAACTGTGGTCCTTTGTGATTCATGAAATGTCAGTGGTTACCGGCACTTTGAGAGTCAAAAAAGCATTTCAGACAACACTATATTAATGCCTGTGGCTCCTGATGATATATTGAGGTCTTATGAAGCGAAACAATCGGTCTGTGCAAGAAACTGAACATTATTTACAACATTATTACCTGTAATCCAGAGCTCAGGCAATGGGGAAATACGATTCTTTCGATCTTTCGGACAGTTCGATTCAATGAACTGGTTCAGTTCACTAGTTTGTTTGTGTAATTACGCAATGACATAACGTATATGCTATTGTATTAATAAAGCACCCAATAATGATGTGAAACATGGACGTTTTACAAGCATATAAAGTGAATAAACTTGTTTTCATCAGCTCATCTTTTTACATAAACGATGAGAAACCATAAAAACATTCTTTTGGCCCCTTCATTCAAGTGTTAACGCATGCGCATATCAGCGGCTCATCAGTCTTTGGTCCGAGTCGAACTGTTTCCTCAGTTAAGTGACTGTTGGAGGAACTGGAGGGCTGAATGATTCATTCATCACAGGATCATAAACGCCGGTATTTCAGCTCATTTCGAGTCGGAGTGACTGTCAGGCATCTGAAAGTGAGTTTTGATTGAGTAACTTGTAGATCTGTGTTGCTCGAGCCGAGAACCGTTTCAGACGTTGAGTCTGATTTGGTGAATCGGTTCAACTAGTTCACCAAAAAGAACCGGTTCAAAAGAATGATTCGTTCGCAAACAGGACGTCTGAGGGTCTGGATTACAGGTAATAATGTTGTAAATAATGATCAGTTTCTAGCACAGACTGATAATTTCACTTCATAAGACCTCAATATATCATCAGATATTAATTTCGTGTTGCTTCTTTGACTCTCAAAGTGACGGTAGCCACCGACTTGCATTTTATCAAGAGCAATGGTTTCAGCTAAAAAAGCTTCTTTACTGTTCTACTGAAGAAAAAAAGTCACCTACATCTCTTACTCGGGACTCTCATATATTTGTTTACTGCCACTTATTTGTATTTGTTGTATTTATTGTCCTGCCTACAAAACAGCACATCATTTTGATATACCAAAGCCCTCCACCTGTCTGTGCCTAATTGTACTGTATATGGTCATGTTTACTATCTGTGTGTATAGTCCTGTTAAAATGACTGTAAGTCTGAGCCTCGTCACGAGCATTTCAATGCCCAGTTTCCCAGTGTAACTGTGCAAATGACAAATAAATGCCTCTTGACTCTTGGATGGCCTGAGGGTGAGTAAATTAACAGCAAATGTTCATTTTTGGGTGAACTATCCCTTTAAGCATCTGATCATAGTGATGTGGATATGATTGCATGAGCTCTGCGATTTGAAACTCCACTTTATACAATAGATTGCTTTTAAAGGGATAGTTCACCCAAAAATGAAAATTACCTCATAATTTACTCACCCTCAAGGCATCCTAGGTGTATATGACTTTCTTCTTTCAGGCTAATCTAATCGGAGTTAGGCCTATATCAAAAATGGTCCTGCTCTTCCAAGCTTTATAATGGCAGTGAATGGGTGTTTCTTTGCAATAGTCCAAAAGAAGTCCAATAAAGCGCATCCATCCATCATAAAAAGTGCCTCACACGGCTCTGGGGGGTGAATAAAGGCCTCCTGTAGCGAAAAATATCCATATTTAAAACTTTATAAACAGCAATCTCTAGCTTCCGCTAACTGTTGTACGCGTGTTCATTCTGGTGCATGACGTAGGCGTAGCGTAAGCTCCGATGAGAATATGCTAGTCTCGCGAGAACCGTTTGTTTACAGGAGCAAAGGAAAACCAGTCTCCTCTTGGCTTTTATTGAAATCCTCCAACATTTTTCCATGTGGGACACTTTTTATTATGGATGGATGCGCTTTATTGGACTCCTTTTGGACTATTGAAAAATAACACCCATTCACTGCCATTATAAAGCTTGGAAGAGCCAGGATATTTTTTAATATAACTCCGATTCAATTTGTCTGAAAGAAGAAAGTCATACACACCTAGGGTGAGTAAATTATGGGGTAATTTTCATTTTTGGGTGAACTGTCCCTTTAAGCAAGCAGCTTTACAGTATTAAACTTGAATAAGCAGTGTCAGTGCAGCTTTCAGTTAAAATTACAGTTCAGTTCCACTATAAAGCAGCTCTGCAGTGTTCTATGCTTTTACTCACGGGCATCTGATGGACCGAAACAAACTCCAGATGAACTTCGATCAAAATAACACTCTAGTTTGTTCTAGTTGATTTCACTTGAAGTATATCGGGTCCGTAATGATGCTAGTTTTACATAGTTTCTAGCTGTTTGACGCTGGTTTAGTTGGTTTATCCGCAGGACCAAGGTTGTCCTGGTAAACCACCGTGGACTTGTTGAGCTGGTTTACTAACTGGTTGAGAAATCAGCTGAAGTTGATGGTTGAGAAATTTCCTCAGCAACGCCAAAGCTTTCCACGCTGTCTGTGCAGGAGCTGGTGAGTGAGATGCAGAGCGTGGACTCGACTCTGAAGCAGATGAGGGAGAACGTGACGGCTGTGCAGCAGAGCTCAGTACTGGGTCTGATCAGCTGGGGGCAGACGGAGCTGGACGACAGTCAGAGACGCTGGGACACGCTCAGTAAAGAGGTGCGAAAGATAACATCAGTGGTGCTGCTGAACACTGAATGTAATGGCCTTAGCATCAAGTAGATGCACAGCAAGGGCAGAACTCGTACTTTAGAGGTGCTTTATTCAAGTAGAAACCACTTCCCAAACCTGCTTGATTCAGGAACATGCTCTTCTGGGATAAGTCACGTTACGTTGATGTCAGTATAAACGTGGTCGATCTTGATTGCAGTTGTTGAGGCGTGAGGAGCGTGTGAGTGAAGGTCAGGAGAAAGTGATGAATCTGAAGAAAGACGTGGCGGAGATGCGCGAGTGGATGATTCAAGTGGACGAGGAGTTTCTCATGAGAGACTTTGAGTACAAGAGCCCAGGGGAGCTGGAGGAGGCGCTGCAGGAGATGAAGGTCTGGAGGAATAGGTTGAAAAGTCATAACAGATTGATGATAACTTTCACTATTAACATTAGCTAATTATTTTATGCATTACATATTATAATGTTTATTCATGTACATTTATACTTAATGTATTTCCCAATGCTATTTTAGTATTTATATACTATAATAGCGTTTAATTTAATTATCGTTTTTTATATTTTTAGTTTTTTAATTTTAATTTAAGTTTTAGTAATGTTGTTTATATGCTTTGTCATTGTTATTTTGTTTTTGTATTTCTATTTAGATTTAATTTTAGTACTTCAACTCATTTTATTTCAGTTCGTTGCAAAGGCAGCATTTCTAATGTTCATGTTTTCCATATAAAATGTTTTAATTTATTTCAGTATTATTTTTTATTAACGAATATGATTTTTAATAGTTTTAGTATCGATACAATATGACTGCTGTTTTCATGTTTACTTTTGATTATAAATTAAACAATTGATCTTTTAAGCATTATATAATGTTTATTAATCATTGATTAGTGAAAGTTAATGTAAAGTTGTACATTTGTTTGATTAAAACTAATTTTGAGCAGGTTGTGAGTGCCAAACAGTCTTTTTTTAAATTTTTTTAAAATCCATATTATTTTAATAATGTAATTTTTTCCCTGAAGCCCTGACAATGTTAGTCAAGTTTTTGTGCCAAAGTCATATTTTGTTTTTCATGATAACTTCCCTCCTTGTGCCTGACCCTTATAGAACAGGTATTATTTAATTCTATATTCTTTCTCTCGTCAAGACTTTTTTCATAAATGTCTTCTCTGTGTGTGTTTCAGAGGGCTAAAGATGATGTGTTGCAGAAGGAAGTGCGTGTGAAGATTTTGAAGGACAGCATTAATGTGCGGATTGGAAAGACGCCCCCTGGTGGTCCTGACCTGAGCCCTGAGCTCACTGAAGTTCTGCACAACTACCAGAAGCTCTGCGATCGCTTCAAGAGCAAGTGCCACACGCTTGAGGTACACACACACACACACACAGACACTCACACTCACACACTCTCTCACACACACACACAGCTATCCTTGT